TCTATAATGCTGAAATACATGTGTATCTATAATACTGAAATGTATACATTTCAGTATTATAGATACACATGTATTTCAGCATTATAGATACACATATATGTGTATCTATAATGCTGAAATACATGTTTATCTATAATACTGAAATGTATGTGTTCTGCAGCTTTTTGAGTTATTCATGCTTTAATAGAATCTACATGCAAACTGATCTTCATCCTCCTGGCTCATTTCTTTAAATGCAGATTCTGTTATGCCTTTGATTTCTTTCATTTTCTCCTCAGATACTGGGGGTAACATTGGCTTTAGCTCCCTTTCAATTTTCTCCATTCTCTCTTTTGTCTTTTGCTCAAATTTCTCATTGTTCTTCATCACAAGATCTCTTATTGCCTTTTGAGCATCTTCACAGGCACTTTCTAATTTTACACGTTCACTTATGAATTCTGGTTTGCTGGGATCCAGAGCCATGAGTTTGCCCAGACTGCTGATCCTGTCCATCAGATGTTTGTCTGAAATCTCAACGTAGGTCCCTGAGATCATGTTAACCAAACTGGCTACATTCGATGCGTAAAAGGCCTGCTGGTAGATCAGGTCTTTCATGAACTTTTTTGAGTTATATGACAGATGTTTCTGAGATGCCTTCTGAGACTGTTTGACAAAATCATCCAGAGATCTACTCAGGCTGGTCTTAATGATGCTTGAGATCATCTGAAAGAAGCGTACCATCTTCTCCCACTGCTCTTTCACTCTCCCCATGGCTTTTAGACCCTCAACCAGCACCTTAATGGTGGTGTTGAAGTCAATCTCTTTTACTTCACAGTTTCTCAGTGTGACTAAGATCTCTGTCAGCTCCTTCTGGTTTTTCTCCAGGTTTTCCAGACTCTGTTTTTGCAGCTCTCTCGCCTTTTCCAGCTGGGCTCGACTCTGCTCTATGCGGAAACGGGCATTCTCCACCGCCATCTCACCTGCCCGTTTTATGCCACTCTCTTTAGCTTGCTGTGGGGGTTCGGGTGTAAAAGCTGGTGTGTTTGTGAAGGCTTTGCTCTCAGAGTCAAATTTCTCTGTTTCCTTCAGCAGCTTTTGGATTCCTCCAATCATTTCTTTCGTCTTGCCATCATCGCATTTCCCGTCAGGTGCGATGGTGCTGAGCTCAGAGCACAGGTTCGTACCCTTTGTGCAGATATTTATAGCTTTGGTTTTTGCTTCAGAGTCATTTTCACTGGCCACTGAGGTGTTAATGTGCTCAAATTGTTTACTGAGAAATGATGTCTTTGCTTTCCCCTCATTTTGGTCAAATACATCAGACCATTTAATTTGGTTTGGTTCTGTAAAGCTATTTAAGGTTCGACTCAGACCCAGAAGCTGCCCTGATTTGGAAAACGCGTTGCTCTGTGCAAACATCATTGGACCTCCTAGTTTTACTTCTACGACTGTTGCTGCTATATTTGTAAAAATGTTCAGAGCACTTAATACATCATCTGTGAGTCCTTCAACGAAGTTCATGCCAATCACTTCCCACCCAGATGGCAGTGAATCCATTGCTGTATCAAAACTCTTTTGTGCCTCTGCTGCCTGCTTATTCATGTCCTCAAGACTTTCCAGAGCCCTTTCTTTGGCTCTCTCTGAATCCTCCTTCTTCATTTTGTTCTTCTCAATTTTGCGCTTGACTTTCTCCAGATCATCACCATATACCTTCTTTGCATTTATACAAGCTTCTAAAAGTTCTTGGATCAGATTAATAACAAAGGTGAACTTTTTCTCTGTTTGATCAGCCAGTTGTACACATTGGTCTGATATAGTAGCTATGTTCTCCAGTTGGTCAGGGAGGAGGGTTTGGACCAGCTCATCATTGTCCTGTAGTAATATCTGAACTGAAGTCTTGATATAACCTGGCACGTTGGCAGTGTGGAGACGGATCTGGTCCATGTTCGTGTGAGCCGTATTGAATGCCGCCCATCCAGAATTAGCCACTTGCATAAGACAGGCTCGGAATGAGTCTGGGTACTTGATGTACTGAAAGCCATCTTTTGGAGGGTTTTTGTTGATGGAGAAATCTACATTAGAGGAGATACAGACCAGCTCTCCCAGAATGGCTATGGAGACTGGGGCAGGTACCAAGTACTCCTCCCAGTTAGCATATGGCTGCATTATCAGCTTGATGTCATCTCTGTAATCCTCAGCCTTGGAAATTGATTTGGTAGCTTTCACTAAGTCTCCCATTGTCTTCATCCCTGTAAGAAAACGGAAATTGTTAGATTTCAACAAAGATGTTTTAACTGAAGTACTTTTGATGAATGAATGTATTTTTATTGTGATTTTATGGAGCACAAAAAACATACATATATAATATATATAATATGAAAACACTTAAATGTCATCATGTATATAATGAAGGCTTTGATTGCTGTAAGGTTTGCTTGAGCCTGTCATGCGAAATACCTTCCATCGTATAAATTCCTGCCTCCTGTGGCGTGTCGATCAGCTGTTTGGTTAATGAAGTTTCACGTTATTCAGTATGTTTCAAGTTTCTATCACCCACAGCTTATATGAGTGGACCTGCCTGCTGCTGTGTTATGCTAATTCTTGGCTGAAAGTTGTATCCTAAAAGAGAGGAGAATGATACAGATTGTGAAAGGAAACACAATGAAATAAATACAATCTTCTATATAATACACTGTTAGCCTGCCCTGTCTTTTACTGTCTGTCTCTTTTATAGAGGTTTTTTTTTCCATTTTCTCTCACTTATAAACTTGACTTATTTGCATAGGGTACATGAAGGGGATCCCAGGCTGAAACTGACTAAAATGTGATCTTGTGAGTTTTGGCTTCTGCAAATCCTGTTATCAGAGTCTCTATATCCAACGACCTCCTGACTTCATGTTAAATGGAAAGAGCAGCAAGTACAGACAGCCCTTCCTGTGACATGGATGACCTGAAGTATGTTTTAATGAGCTTCAGGGATGACAAACATCTGTCACCAGAAGCCACAGTCACAGGGGGAGTGAGAAACAGTCTTAGCGCTTTGCTCAAATCAGGGTACATGTCAAGAATATTCTCCTTATACAGGTAATCAGACATCTCAAACGGCGATGAGATATGAGTGAGGAAAGCACTAACGGTAGCCTGCACTTCCAGCTTCAGATCCTCTGCATCTACATCATTCATTCTTTGCTCCAATCTCTGGCAGCACTCATGCAGTTTCCCTTCCTGCTCAGTGCTTCTCGTCTTGTCAAGCGAGAGAAATCCATGCAGCTCACAGAAGCTTTCCATAAGTGAGAACCTCCCATCTATTGTTACAAGGGCTGCATCTACAAGGGGCAGGAGGAACTCCCTTTTAAAATGCTCCTCTGGAGCTGACTCTGTTTGCTCTCTTCCTTCATACATAAACTGTCTTGCTGTTCTTCTCTGATGTACCTCTGGCCAGCTTATCTCCACCTCCAGCTTTCCTGCTATCTCTCTGGCAGCTGTTGTAGCGCAGGTGAGGCCATGATCTCGATATGCCTGCAGGATTTCTGTCACTCTCTTAGTTTCTTTTGTCAGTGTTTTAGTTGAAACTTTAGGGCTCTGAAGGATCTTGCTCACACTGTTTATCTGGAACAGCACGTTGTATCATATAATGGTATTTTAGAATAAAAGGCCATGTTTGCTTCTCTTGACAAATGCTTCCAGCTGCTTTCGCTATTTCCAGAAGCTGCTAACGGACAGTTACACTGTCAACCCGGGGGCCCCAGGCGGTCGCCTACCTTCCCTAATGGTAAAGTCCGCCTCTGCCTATAATGCGACATGACGTCACACCCCTGACCAGGGACGTGCTTAGGTCTGATCAGTCGGGGCTATAGCCTCGAGTATTTTAGCCCCGATGCCAGTCTTTCAAAAAAAAGTCAGCCCCCAAGTAAACCTGATCTTTTCAGTAGGTCTGACCCTGATACACCATCTCCCCCAATGTTAGTATGAAACCTACACCCCTAGTAATATCCATCCCAATCCTTCTCAGACGGGCTCCGGACTCTCCACACCCTGCATAGGTCCCACAATGACCTCATCAGCTAGGATACTGGGCAAAGTGAGTCCAGCCCCTTGGATTTGAGTGAAGCTTCACGTGATGAAGTCCGGATGGCCGTGGAGAATCCGCAGTTAAGGTGCAGAAGATCACGCAATGAAATAAAACCTGGAAGACTGACTGAAAACTGAACTCTGCAGTGAGCTGCTGCCAGCTGAACTCTGCAGTGAGCTGCTGCCAGCTGAACTCTGCAGTGAGCTTCTTCGTTCTGCTGCATCACAATACGCACCTCATTAATATTTCAGGCATACTGTACAATTGATCAGCAATGGTGTCTCTGGCACAGAATGCCAGGTGGGGCACAATAAACACCAATCTGCCAAGTGCTGGCTCAGTGAATCCTAGTACAAATGTACCTAAATTAAATCACAAGCATGCATTAGGGGCAGCATGGTGGTGCAGTGGTTAGCACTGGACCTGGGTTCGAGTCTCCGCCTGGGTCACATGTGTGTGGAGTTTGCATGTCCCTGTGTCGTCGTGGGATTTTCTCCAGGTACTTCGGTTTCCCCCCACAGTCCAAAGACATGCTGAGGCTAATTGGAGTTCCTAAATTGCCCATAGGTGTGCATGTGTGAGTGACTGGTGTGTGAGTGTGCCCTGCGATGGGCTGGCCCCCTGTCCAGGGTTGTTTCCTGCCTAGTGCCCATTGCTTCCGGGATAGGCTCCAGACCCCCTGCAACCCAGTAGGATAAGCGGGTTGGAAAATGGATGGATAACAGGAGCAGCACTAAGCAGAAGTGGAGACAGAGATATGAGTGGCATTAGTAATAAGGCATTTCAGCTCACATTACTTAAGGCCCTTAACATACAGTCCAAACAACCTTGCAGTAATGAGAAAGACTCACCAGTGACGTTCACTATTGGGAAAGGAAAGTTGCATGATGATCCTTTATCTGGTCAAACTTCAAGTGTCTAATTTTTGCTCTAAGGGAAGTGAATAGGCTGGAGATTTACCACACCGATTGTGAGGAGTGTTGCAGTTCATTTGCTATCATTTGTGCTCATGCCATACAAATAGGTTTGCCTGCATAGCTTCTATATCTCTCTATCTCTCTCTCTCTCTCTCTGTACAACAATTTGGCAGCATCCCCTAGAGATAGTAAATGTGTTTTTCAGTTCATTAGATTCCCGTACCTTTATTTAGAGCAAGGTAGCTCCATGTGCACTTGTCATATAGTCTTATAAAAATGGCTTCAGGGACACTGCTGCTACTTCTGTCAACCACGTCTCTTTCACTTACTCTCTCTCTTTCACATACACACTATAGTATCCAGTATCTGCATCTAATGGCTTTGTTGCCAACCAACTGGCTGAACTTCACTCTATGCTGTTATAGAAAAAATTGATAGAATCGGCAAACTTGTTATGACTGGAACTTGAAAGGTAATGTGTTTAGCATTCTGAACAAATGTGGTTTTCTTAAATTCCATAGCATTAGAAGAAATTAAATCTTTCTTAACATGTGTCCTATCAGTACCTTAATTGGTAAAGTTCCTTAATCATGATGTCATAACCTCGATCCCCATTTCCCCAACCTTCTGGTGAGGTGTCACTGAGCTGAATGTGTTTAATCTTCTGTCTTTTCAGATGACATTTGATGTTACAAAGTTGTCAGCATGAGAGTTTAACCATTTTCATTTTCTTGGATACAGAACAAATTATTATTCATCACCACCAGCAACATGAAGACAAAGTATTACATCACCGGCCCAAGTAAAAGTGACTTCCTTTCATATCCATCCTTTGATGTAAATTGAATTGCAACATGCTTGCACTGCTTGGCTACAATGCTTATCAAAATTATTGTGTTTTCACTTTGGTCATTCTTAGGTTCATATAGGACCTAATGCAACAATATCGTCAACCCAGTATGCCAACATCAAGTGGGGTGATGCAAGGAAGGCAACTAAAGATTTAATGATGGGGGTATTTGGGTGAGTGCTTCTGTCTACCCACTCGTACACTGGGAGGAAATCGAATGCCTTCCCCGGATGAGAGCCCGAGCCGCAGCTGAATCCAGCAAAGATCTGCCACATCAAAAGTCAGCGTAAGTTACAATTTTTCTACAATTGCAACTTGAAGTAACAATACTGGCACCAGAAATGACTGAGGTAGAGAGTAAAATAGAGGAAAAAAGCTAAAGTGGGGCAAAAATGTCACATGCGTAAGAATACCATGATCAGCACATGTGACAGGCCTACATTTTAGTCTGTGTAAATAACAGCCGTAGAGCTTTTAATGAAACAATTCAATATGAATGACAGGATGGTAAACAATATGCACAAATATAGTACAGTCGTACGCCGGTATCCACAGGTAGACGAGTTCCAAATCCCTCCATGGGTACCGAAAATTGCGGATAGTAGCAAACACCTTACATAATTGTACTATGTGCCGTTTAAGGCCATATAAACACCAGGTATGGACACAATAAACACCAACCTGCAAAGTGTTTGCTCAGTGAATCCTAGAACAAATGCACCTCCATTAAATCACAAGCATGCATTAATGGAACAGGGGCAGCAGTTAGCGGAAGTGGAGAGAAAAAATCCTATAAGATTCCAATAGGGATAATGTATAATCCTATAGGACTTCGATCATATTTTGGAACTGAAATTCTATTTTTGATTAGGGTCGTTTTCCTATCTCTGGATCGCGAGCTTTGGATCTTATCCCGATAGTGTTTATTGGGCCAAATGACATAGCCCTACTCAATAACACAGATGTAAGGCAGGGAACAACCCAGGATGGGGCCCCAACCCATCGCAGGGCACACTCACACACCAGTCACTCATACATGTACACCTACGGCCAATGTGGTAACTCCAACTGATTTTTGGAGTGTGGGGAAAACCCCACGACGACACGGGGGGGATCCGAACATGCAAACTACACGCACATAGACAGAGCGCAGACACGGACGCTGATCCCACAGAAGAGAGGCGACAGCGCAAACCGCTATATCACCGTGCCGCCCCGTCTATTTAAGCATCTATTGTAATTTCTATTAGTTAAAAACATAATCCAAACACCAGTAAAATTCAAGCTCTTCTTGAACAACATCACCCTTTGGACGTAAATATTTAAGCGCTCCATTTCTAAATTTGTAGTATAGCCTATATAATATCCTTCCATCTTCTATACATACTCTTACATACTCAAGACATACCTGTAGACCAGAATCAGCATTTAGGAAGCGCGATGGACGGGCAGCACCTATTTATCGTAATAACCATCCCATCCTTCGTACTCTCCACACATTGCATCGATGGGTCCTGCACCGATCTCGCCAGCTAGGATGCCGGGCAAAGCTGGTCCAGCCCCTCGTACCTGAGTAGAGTTTCGCTCGATGAAGTCCGGGAGAGTCCGCAGCTAAGGAGCCGAAAACCGTGCGACGAAACAAAACCGGAAAGACTGGTCGCTGACCGAACTCCGCAGAGCTGCTCCTGATGAGAGCCGGTGACGGTGCTTATATAGGCTATATCCTCATACCTGTCAAGTATCCCGTTTTGGCCGGGAAAGTCCCGTAATTTACCCTTCTTTCCCGGCGTCCTCCCGTATTAGTATTTTCCCGTAAATCTCCCGTATTTTAACCTGCGTTATTAAAAAAAAAAAAAAAAACATCGCTCCCAAAAAAATCTGAGCTCTGTCACTAGCCTCGCGATAACTGCCACCTGCAGTAGCCTACTACAGGTACTGTCATAGCTGTCAAGTCTCCCGTTTTGGCCGGTGTTGTGCCAAAAAGTGACTGTCTGCCAGAAACTGATTACGATCCGCGGGAGCGCGCACAGCCTGTTCAGGATGCATCGCAGTTTCTGTGCGACTAAGGCGGGTAATTTCGATATCAAATCGTCTTAAAATGCAAAAAGTATGTAGTACATGTATCCCCGAGATAAAAGCGAAGGTATGTCTTTGTCAGATTTAAGGGTTTGGTGGATTTTTAAATAAATAATTGCAATAAGAGTCAAAGGAAGCCATTGTCATGTAAAACGCTTTAAATTAAAACAGTCCTCGGTCGTAACTGCGTTGTAAAACTGTAACCTTACGTCATGAAACCATGGAAGTTCAAATGCGACACATTAATGTAGATATATGTTCATAAATGTTCCTACGTCTAAATGAGTTTCGCTACACAACCGATGTGGATTAATTAAATAAAGACAATTCTTCATCTTGCAGTCATATTAAAGAGTCAGTGGATTTTTCCTGCTCTGTGCTGCAGTATCAACTATCCAGTCCTTTTTACCACTTTAAACACCGGTATAGGACCAGTATAACCAGTACAATGTAGTTTACCCATTGCCAAAAAGTGATTACACTCAATATCTCTTTACTGAATGGCTCTTTCTGTCTGATTTTAATTTCTTTACACTCTTCTGGGTTGTATGT